CTATTATTATAGGTTATAAGAGTAGGGCTTTTTATAGGGGGAATTGATAGGGATGCTACTAAAATGGATGCGGACGCTATATCCTTAGGGACGCTATACTTTTGCGGCTCCTTATTGGTCTAAACGCCTCGGTCCGTAAATTCTCCCGACGGCAGGCGGTGAATATTCTTATATACTCTCAGCACTAACAGTGGGCTACTAGCCAATTGCATTACACTGAGTTCTCATAGCACCGCCTGTGTACGGTCCAAGGGCAAAGCCGAGCGCAACTTAGTTGAAGCAATTATTTATGAAAAGAAAAAGAGAGCTTTAGGAAGGAAGCTCTCGCTAGAAACTATTTACACGAAACTACAGTGGAACATTCGATCTAAAGCAGTTCCCTAACAGCCTGTTTACGCTCTCGAACATTAGGAAATTAGCATCGCTGCGGCGACCTTGGCTTTAGGTATGCTAGATCTTGACTATAATACATTGCTCTAGCATTGCAGGGCGTGTCTTTTACTCCCAGCCGTGTCTAGTATAGTCACATCTAAATAGGCAATTATCTCTTCGCTGCTCCATTGCCTTGTAGCCCCTGTCGAGGTAGCACAGAGCGGTGCTATCCTCTCGTCGTCTAAGTACCATTCTTACCACTTTGTATCGTATCGCAACGGTAAACCCATTGCCCTGCGGTATTCTTGATTCGTTTTGATCCTCCCTCGTGGCTGCGCTTCATACCAAGCAGCCCTGTCAGTCAGACTTGTCGGCAATCAATATTGTCACAGACTTATAAACAAATAAATCATTTTTAAATATATCTAAATTAAATTAGAATTTTTATAAATTAAATTAACTTATATATATATATCTTTTACTTAAATTAAATTAAATTAAATAGCTTAATTTATTTAGATATCTATAAATTTAGATAAAAAGTGTAGGGTAGCTAGTATAGCTATATAGGTAGACCTCGCTTAATAGTTATACTAATTATATTACTTTTTCTAGTGTGTTCCTAACGCGATATATTCTTATATATAGATATACTATAGAATATATACTACTATAAACCTATCTTATATTTTCTCTTATCTACTCTAATAGGAAAAGTTTATTATTACCTTAGGCTTATTACTATATCTCTAGAAGTAAATACTAATCTAAAAATATAGTACTACTTATATTATACTATATTAAGTACTACTTTAAATATTTTAAATAGCTCTTTTAAAACCAACTTATTAGAGTATAAGGGGGATATATCTAATAATATATTACTTATAGTTAACTATATTAGATATAAAGGTATTAACTAGAATTACATCCTAAACTACTCTATAAGTAAGCATTATAAATAGCTATATATAGGCTAGGTTTAAGAGTATAGATTTAATATTAAGAAAGATAAAACTAGTTGCTAGTTTTAGCTATATAAAGTATACTACTAAAAGAAGATAGCTACTATATATATATATAATACTATATTAATAAGCTAAGTAAATAGTTATATAGAATATACCTACTATATTAATAAAGATAGGCTAATAGTACTATAAAGAAAGAGATAATATACTCTAATTAATATAGTTAGCTTAGATTACTAGTAGCTAAAGGAATAAGTATTAATAATTATATTTATAGTATTGTTTAAACCCGCTTAATTTTAGTAGCTATTAGTTTATTAAGTAGTATATAATAATATTCTATTCTATAAGATTAAAAGTCTATACTTCTATAACCTTATAGTATATATAAATAGTACTATTACTAACTCTAGAAGCCTCCCTACCTATAGTATAATATATAAGTAGATTATATAATTATTTAATTATTATAAGGGTATTATAATAGAATTACTTAGTTCTTTACTTAGTTATATTAATATTTCCTTTAATATATAGTCCTCTTATAAGTTTATATCCCTCTTTAGCCTTACTATTTACTTTCTTAATAATAAAAGGAAATTCTATATATTTCTTCTAGGCTTACTATATATTAAAGGCTAATATAGTAGTAAAAACTTAGCTAACTAAGTAAGCGAGATAATATATAAATATAATATTAAGGGCTATATTAGGTATTTTATTATAGATAACGCAGAGAGTAATAATATATACCTTAACTATTTAGCTATTAAATTAGGCTTTAATAAGCAGTAACGGCGTCTATAGTATAGTGGCTATATTATTAACCTCGTCACTTAATCTATTCTATTCGGAATAGACGCCGATGCGTTTAAAGAAGACTGCCAGGCCGAGAAGGAAATCTAAGACGATGTTAGGCTCTAGAGAACGAAAGGCCTAATAGGTTAACTTCACAGGAGGCGCTCAAGCTCGGAAATCGACTTGTAGCAGGCGCTCACAGGACCATCCATGGCAAAAAGCGACGGAACGGCGCCTGCAGTCTTTGGATTCAGATGTGTGTCGCTGAGGCAGAGCAAGATGGCCCTCAACGACGTGACTTCTCCTGAGATAATAATCATGTCTCGGGGAGCGTCCTTTGTGGCATGGATGAAGTGACGGCACGCCCGTATTATGCCGTCAGAGATCTGTATCAAGGCCGCAATATTTGCAGCGTATTCAGCCATGTTGATATTGGTAGCTGACGGGGAGCATGTACTTGGTGAGCTGAAACCCAAGCAATACTCAGCGAGGCTATTACTCGGTGGTCGACAAGGCTGAATAATGACATTGCTGCATAAGATGCGGGGTTGGACCACATGGGTGCGTGACTAGCGGTACGGGTCGGCATGATTTCCAGGCACCAGTACAAGACACATTTAAGAGTCCATTCTCACGTTTTTGCGCGGCATCATCAGCGTTATGAATGAAGCAATACGGGCCTTGACAGAACGGAAGATTGGTGAGCTGCTGGCTCTCGGCGAGAAACATGAACATGATCAAGAGGCGCTCCTACCACACATTGATGCCTTCTCTACTTTTGGTAAGTCGGCAGATTGGTCATAAGTAGCATGAGGGACTTTCGGACTAAATCTCCATTTCGGGATTCATGGTAGAGAGTAAAGCAAAGTGACCATGCCGTGGAGATTTGAGCAGTTTCAAGTGGCCAGGAATTTCCTGCAGCACAAACTGTCTTAGACAATCCTGTAGTATAAATAAGCCAGTCACATTCAAAAACCCAGCATTTTTAGATGCCAAGCCACGAGCAGACACAAGAGCACCTACCCCGGAGAAGAACGGCCTTTACAAGCCTCTACGAGGCAACTCCACTACAATCGCCAACCACAGACGAAAACATTCAAATAGAAAGCCTTAAAATAAGTAAGGCAGATATAAATATAGTTATAGGGCTTATAAGTATATTCGATTGTGCAAATGCCCGAGTTGCTACTTCCTCTACGCTGGAGTTTTGCGGCTATGCTGCCGTGTTCGGGGCTACTTCTGCAACATGATGTAATGGAGATTTTTGAGCTTGCTAGGTATGAGTCTGGAGAGGTTATAGTGACGACCAGAATCGAAAACCTCCAGCGCTACGCTAGCAGTATGGTTGAACTCGAGTATAAAAAGGGCAGTGTATGCGGTCAAAAAAGAGCAAGCAGGGTATTGGCGGCGAGCCAGCATGTATAAATCCGCTATAATGAGTCCTTCTACTAGGATATTATCCCAAACAAGGTCGATTTTATTGATCCATCGACTCTGAAGAACCGGAAGGGGCAGATCGCAGTGCCGCATGATACCGATGCAACTCTTATTTCCAGTGGCAGCTTAATTTCCCACCGACCTACGCGCCATTTCGCCACTAATTCATGCGGATCTCACCTGCTATGACTCCAAGACTTCTTTACAGCTTCGGGGGCGGAATCATGGCTTTAAAGGCGGCCATTTTTTTTCAGGCAATGCTGTAGATATCAGCATGTATCAGCAACGTTTCATAGGGGTACTTTGCGGCTGTGAAAAACTAGATGCCGGAACTGGCGTTTCAATGTGTCTGTTCGAATTGTCCAGGAGTACCTTTGGGGATCAGAGGGTACAACAGTGGTACCTCTAATGGGGCCAGCGCCCCGTCGCCCTGCGCGCCTGAAAAAGTCGTCGCTATTTTCCTTGATGAACAAAAGACGGACACTTGATCCGCCTTTGTCGGTGTAATATAATTATTAGTTAATAGTAGATAGAAGTATACAAGTTATATTAAAAGTCGACTATTAGTCACATTAAGAATGCTTACTCAGCATACTCGGCCTCGGAGGCTTACGTAAAGGTATCAGCTCTAGTCCTGACCTTGAGACCTACCCTCTACAACCTCGAATTATTACTTCTGTAGCTCACAAACCCATAAATTCCTGCCTACATGTATTGCGCCCAGATGTTTATTCGTACTACAGCATCTATAGAGTCATGAGGCGGCAGAAAGTACCTACAGCTTGTGACAACTGCCGGCGCAGGAAAGTGAAATGCGACGGCCACCAACCTAGTGAGTCAAGTGAGACTGATCGTTTGAAGCTCACTTCTTAACAAGCAATGGTCAGGATGTCGCCCTTGTCTGATGCGGATGGATACAAGTTGCGTTTACAGTCGCCAACATGATCTTCGACGAAAGGAGCGAGTCCTGTTACCTCAGCTTTCCGTCCCTCCCACCTCCAGCGAAACTGCTTCTGTAGCCAAAACTACGGCAGGCACGAATTCGGCTTTCAATTCTAGTCTGCATACCTCTATAGGCAGATGCGATATTTCAAATCTTGTCATGGAAGCTGATGCCCGCGATGGAATATCCCTCTCAGGGTCTCCTGGCACAACTGATGTAGTCTCTCACACAAATGTTGCTTCTGGACGAGTTCCAATCAGTGCTCCGTCAGCAGGTGCACCACGCATAACCCCTGATGATGCTGATGCCGATGCTATGACGGGCGAGGTTGGTGATTCATCTACGAGCGCCAAGTTCTTTGGAAGCAGCAGTGCCGTGTCCTTTATGCGCCAGATCAACACTGCTATTGACACCCTTCTAGACGGTTCTCATACGTCGGCGCCTTCTCAAACTAATGATACTTTGCGGAGGACCAAACCGATTACTACTCGAAACGAACCTATGCTGGACCCCCTCGCCTACACGCTGCCTGCGAGGAAGTTTGCTGACGCTCTCATCGCTGACTACTATGCGTCCGTCTGGGCAATTCTGCCCGTGCACGACTGGACCATATTTAACGAAGCATACACGGACATGTGGCTTGGAAAGTCATCTGAACTTATTTCTGAGAGTGAGCTGTACTGCATGACAAACCTCAGCTTTGCCCTAGGAAGCCAATTCTCCCAAAACATTACTCCGCAGCAGAGAAGGAAACTGGGACAGACGTTCTGGAAGAGGGCAGAGGCTATCTTTGATACCCATCTAAGAAGTGCTCCATCTATGGAAGGTGTCCAATGTCTGCTGATGATGGGCCTTTTCCTTCAGGGCGCATCAGACTCTCATCGTTGCTGGATGACTGTCGGATCTGCCATTCGAATGGCTCAAAGTCTCGGCCTTCACTCTTCATCATCAGCGAACACGAATGGAAGTTTTCGCGAGATCGAGATTGGCCGAAGAGTGTGGCACGGCTGTGTTTTCATGGATCGGTAAGTGTTTGCGCAGTACACTTCCTTGAAGATGTCTATTCTTGATTCTCCCAGATAGTCATTCCCAAAGTAGCTGATACTATAGCAGCGTACTATCGATGACCTTTGGCCGGCCGAGCATGATCGCTAATTGGCTATCCGACGCTGTACCACTACCTCTGATGATCGATGACGAGTTCTTAGATACCCAAAGACAGGCCACGGCAAGTCGACCTGATGGTGAAACCTCGCGCGTTGGGTTCTTCATATTCTCGCTGGAACTCTACAGCATCGTCAATGATTTCTTGCTAGAGTTATACATGGATCCACCCAGCAGAGCAGTAAAGGCGAAGACAAGCCTTAGCACCGTGATTGGGTATGACGATCGACTCGAGAAGTGGCTGAACTCCCTACCTGAGTTCCTTCGCTGGTCGTCGCAGAGCCCAGTTGATGATTTCATCCTCCAAAGACAGCGCATTGTCCTGAGAGCGCGGTAAGCAACCATAGATTCGTACCTCTCTTTATCGCAGTCTCTAACGAAAATCTCAAGCTACCTTCACGCCCGCATTACTCTTCTGCGTCCAATCGTAGCAGAATTCTATCTCAAGCAGCCCAAGTCAGATGATTCTAGCATACATCCTGATGCAAATACGTGTCTGTCGCAGACACTTGTCGAGCGCTGCTCGGCATTATGTTTTGAGGCAGCTCGTGAGATCATCAGCATGATCTACGCAAATCTCAACCTTGAGACACTGATCGGGCCAGTCCCTGCGTGGTGGTTCACCGTGTTGTGTAAGACTCTGATTCACTGCTGTCATGTTTGTATCCTGGAAACTGACCTCAGATATACTTAGTTGTCTACTCTGCTGCGACAGCACTGCTTGCTGAACGCTTTGGGCCTACAGGATCAGGCCCGAGATCGGGACAGTCATGGTCCTCTACCTCCACATGGGATCAGGCAATGCAGCTCCTGAAAGCATACGCAAGGGTTGGGGAATCGGCTGAGCGATGTGTCGCCGCGCTAGAGATCCTGTCGGCCAAATTTCAATCACATGCTAGCGACAGGCAAACACAGCACGCCGACGACCAGGTGTCAACAACTCAGAGAGAATCTGGTCTCGATATTGCACAACCCATGCATCAAGAGTTTCCCGATATCGCGGCTCTTCCTACAGACTTTGATCTAAATGCGATAGATTTAGATATCAGTGATATGACATGGCTGAATGCTACGGTAGGAGATATTATTTTCTAGCCTTGCATGTATTCGAAAGAATAGATGCCAGTTAAACCTTTATCCAATAATATAGTAAAAAGGTAAAGTATTACTACTTATTATATTCGTACCTGTCGCTACATAAGAGGGGGACAGTTGAGAACTGACCCAAACCAGATGAGTAGATAACCTCAAAGATCCAACGGCGGAATACCTTTTGTCTGGCGATACCAGTACTCGAATGTCGAGTTAACGACCTGAGGTCGCAAGAGATACGAGCCGGCCTCCTTGGCCAGCGCCCCATCCACAGGCTGCAATGGACCAAATGTGGCGGCGCGTACCTGGATCCGACATGCGCGCTCCAGCATGACAGCGAGGTACACCGACTCCCGCACGGTGGTTCCAGTCGTGAGCATGCCGTGATGGGCCAAGATGATGGACTTTTTAGCGCCCAGAGCTCCTGTAATAATAACACCTTCGTCGTCGGCAATGGGCACGCCTGGCCAGTCTGCAAGGAATGCGCAATCATCGTAGAATGGTGTCATATCCATCTGCGCCACGACGAGAGGCTGTCGGGCAGCGGCGAGCGCCTGGACCCACGGGGAGTGAGTGTGAACAATGCTGTTCACGTCCGGCCTGCCACGGTAGACCCAGAGATGAAAGCGAGTGGCTGGGTTAGGCATGCCAGTACCAGTGACGGTGTTGAGATCGCCATCGACCTCGATGAAGTCTTCTGGCTTGGCCTCGTCCCAACCAACGCCGAATCGTAGAGTCCAGTAGAAGCCGTGTCCGCGCTCCGACCGAGCGCTTATCTGACCAGTCATGCCAGCGTCTTCCTGCTTGGCCGCGAGCAGGCGGCAGGCACAGGCCATGGTCTCCTGGAGGGAGCGGACAGGCACCTTGAGGTGCTTCTTCATCTCTTCGGCCGTGCGCTTGTCAAAGTGGCTTTTGGGACGCAGCGGGCCGCCACCAGTCTGAAGGGCGGCGCCCTGAACTGCGGGAGAATCGAAACTAGGTGGCATTTTGGGCTTGTTTTTCGGGGATAGGTGCGCAAATTGAATTTGTGATAATCTGTTTGATTTGAGATGGTTCTAATCCTAGATAGCATTTTTTTTCCCGCAATGGCTTGCGCCTCTTTAATAGTCAAGGCCACATTACCAATCTGATGGGCGTACCAAGTGGCTTCCTTGTGTAACCCAATAATTGAGGTACGTCAAGAAGCGTCAACACCTCTAGCAAAACCCTCCGGGCTGGCAAATCGGATCTAGACAGTTGGGCGTTCCGAGGGAGCAAACAGGCGAGATTTCGGGTCAGCCATCCCGGAACACATTCTTACTGGACATGATCCCGCGGAAGTAACAAGTAATGCGCCCGATTTGTTAATGTGGACTCACACCTTTATTGATGCGAATTAAGCCTGATATAGGCTTATGATTAGCTCCTGACGAATCGCGGGTAGTGGGGTAAGAGGCTTCGGGGGCCCTCGGCGGAGTTTGTCGGATATCAGACCACAATTCACAAGCTACCTGGAAGACCAGCCAATGAAGTTGCTAACCGATCCGTGCTCCGAGCCCGCGGGAGGGGTCGAAACGGAGGAACGGCGTACTGGATGTGAGCTCTGTGGGACCACTTTGAAGCAGTTGAATTATTGATATAAATTCACAAACAAGAGTCTTTTACAGCTGGCGGTCTTTGCTACCACTCCTCACAAACCTGGAACGCATCACTCAAACCAAGACCATCGCACAACACCGTCTCTTTCGCCAAACAAAAAAAATGAGCATCAAGAAAGATCTTTTTCAAGGCCTATCGGCATTCCCAATCACTCCTGCTGACCCGGATGGCACCGTCGACACTAGCGCCCTGGTTGGCATTCTCGAAAAGCTAGACATACCCGGCATCGATTCGATTGGACTGTTGGGTAGTACAGGAAACTATCTCTACCTGACGAGAGAGCAACGCAAGCGGGCCATTCACGCAGCCGTGCAGGCTCTGCAGGGCAGAAAGCCACTCATCGTCTCTGCCGGTGCGCTTCGGACAGACGATGCACAGCGCCTAGCCAAGGACGCTGAAGAGGCCGGGGTTGATGGGCTGTTACTCGCACCCGTCTCGTACACTCCGTTGACTGACGAGGAGGTCTACACCCATTATGAGTCAGTCGCTGGGTCGACCACGCTACCCATCTGCATCTACCACACGCCGAGCACGACGCACTTTACCTTTAGCGACGCCCTTCTTGCCCGCATCGCAGCGCTGCCCAACGTCGTTGCGCTGAAGCAGCCCTCTCCCACCGCTGAGCCGAAAGCAAGACACGAAGAGCTCCGCGCAAAGCTTCCCTCTGGATTCTCCATTGGCTACAGCGCGGACTGGCTGGTGGCTGAGCCACTATTGGCAGGAGGCGATGTGTGGTACAGTGCGATTGCGGGGGTGCTTCCCGGACCGTCGGTTGCGCTGATGAATAGCATCCGCAAGGGGGACCATGCCGAAGTGAAGCGCATCTCGGCTGTCCTGCAGCCAATCTGGGAGCTATTCCAAGAGTTTGGTGACGGGCGGGTGGTCTTTGCGCTCGCAAACGAGCTTGGCCTCTGCAAAGCCGCCCCTCCTCGGCCTATTCTGCCCGTAGCTGCTGAGCACCACGGCCGTATTCGCTCAGCGTTGGCAAGCGCTCAAGAAAATATTTAACGGGCCATCTCGAAACGTACGAGAGTTTATAGGGAGTCAGCATTACAAAGAAGATCCAGTGTATACAGTGTCAATGTACAGTGCGCGGCCTGCTAGTAACACCTCGGATAACCAGGCACTTACAATATTACCTTCAGCTTCAACTCTGCTCGGCTCGTCTCTGTTGCGAATCTCTCTACCTCGTCTCCCGTACAATTTCCAATGCTGCAACTTCTCCAGGCCTCCATTCCCGACCACGGGCGGCACCGCACCGCCGCCGTCGCCGTCGTCGCGCTGCCTCCGGTCGTTCTCCCCAGCGTGTAGGTACGTCGCCTATCCCCAACTGGGCCATGCCATGCACCACGATCTGCTCTTCCGGGCAGCGAACTACCGACCTCCGCCACCACCACCCCGCCACCATGCACACCCAAACGCCTACCCGACGACGACGTCGTCGTCGGCGAACCCGGTGGACTGGGTCGTCTGCTACGAGCGCGTCGTCTCCTGCGCCGCGGCCCTCGTGACCCGTCTTCCACGGCGACGACACGAAGCCCGCAACCACTTTGCCCTCGCCCTCGCCGCTTCTCACGGCCTACCCGCGCACGACTTACTTTAAGCGACTACTGACACCGGAGGGCTGCGATCCCGAGTCCGCCGCCGAGTCTGTCAAGGTTCTCCCTGTTCACCGTGTCCATGGTGATCGAAGATGGCTGTGCACAGTCTACCCTCGCGCGCACGACTGCGCTACCAAGCACCAGGAGCAAATGCACAGCTGGTTTCAGCAGTTTGAGGTTGTTCTGGAAAACCTACCGACTATTATTCTTTCTCCAGTCTTATCTGGAAATGCTTCTGAAACTTCACCTAGGCTCGGCCCTGTACCGCTGGATCATATCTCCCAATCAATTGCTGATGAATATCAACCCTTCACACTACTTTCGACCGACTCTCGCCGTTTAGCCACCAATGGCTTACACCCTTTCATTCCAGAGACAAGCGTTCATCGACATCCTGCCTGCGACATATTCGCAAGTGAGGCGCCTGACTCGTGGAATTGAAACACCTGCTATGGCCTTCAACTACCTATGCATCAAGATGCACTCAAAGCTAGATGCGAATGCTCTTCAGCTCAGCTGCCGCAAGCTCGTCTATTCTTTGCACTCGATTCACTCATTTTGAAGACACTTGGTATCAAGTTATACTCTCTGAGATTGAAGTGCCTGTCAGGTTTGTCAAAGTCAGCGGTCCGTTAAGAGAAGAAGCCTATTCGCTTTGCACGGAAGATATTCAATCGACTGTACTAGCTGCTAC